TTTTAAAAAAAAAAAAAATACTTTCGAAACAGCCAAGATGAAGGTCGGTTTATAAATTTCGCGAAGCCAGGTTCGACCGGGTTTATGTAGTGGGATGGGGCTCTGCTTTTGTCTCCTTGAGGCGCCAGGAGATAAGTAGAGATCGCGTGTGCATGTGTGTGTGTGTGTGTGCGCTGGCGTGGATAAACGGGTAGGCGCATCCGCTATCGCAGCTCTGGGGGCCTGGGTCTGAGTGTGTCTCTATCGCGCCAAGTCTTGAGTCACAGATGACAGTGACGTGGGGGAAAAACTTTGCGTTCTGAAGAAGGTTCTGGCTTGATTGAACTAAAGAGAAAGAAAGAGCCCTTGTGCATTGTGCCCTTTCGAGCGAGCGAGCGAGCGAGCGAGAGAGAGAATGAGAGCGCCCGCGACCGGCTGCATAGCGCTGCGTGTCCTGGGCGCGCTCCTGGGTCCCGCCCCGGGTTCCACTGTGGACCAGCGGGTGCATCTGCTGCCGTGCTGGCGAATTTCGGCGGGGGCTGGGGGTACGCTGCCGGGCGGCGGAAGCAGGAGCAGGCCGAGAGTCCACTGGCTAGTAGAAATCTGGCCTCGGAACGCGCCATCCTCCGCGCCACTTCCAATAACCGCTAACAGCCCAATTGGGCATCCGAGCCCGGAGCTCTGCTGGGAAATTGCCCTGGCCCAACTCGGCCCTCCGAGCTCTCTTTATCCTAGCGCAGAGAAAGTGAGCCCGGAAAGGGGAGAAAGGGGCGGGGACCCTCCTCCCCCAAACAGTAAATAAACAAACAAACAAATTAACTGGCTTCTCGCCGCTGCTGAACGCGGTCCGTTGAGTCCAGTTTGGTGGCATTCGGAGAGAGTTTTCTCGTTCTGTTTGGGAACCCGTCACTGCACCTCTACTCCAGCCACCTCTTCCCATTTTGCAGGCGTCCCCAACTTTGGGACCCGGGGTTGGTAGGGCGCTGGGCTGCACCTGCGGCGGAGCGCAGGGGCAGAGGGTCGGCACTCTCGCCCGGGGCGTTGGTGTAGCTGCGCCCTGGTCCCGGAGGCCGGCGAGTGTGTGAGAGGCGCAGACGCCAGAGACTGAGCTGAGGACGTGCGGCGGGTAGGGGCGCATCAGCCGGGTTTCGGCCCGAGCAGGAGCAGAACGTCGGTTCCCCCTCGCCCGGTAGCCTCTGCAAGCAGGCGAGCTCCGGGAAGGGGGGGGTGGGGACGGAGACCGGGGGTAGCGATTGGTGGTTTTGCCGGGGAGGGCCAGCGGCTGAGCAAGCCGGGGGAGAGTAGGAGGAGGGGGCGGCCAACTTCCTCGGAGAAGGGGCCCTTTCAGCGCGAGGGCTGGCGAGGGAGCTGCTGCTGCCACCGCCGCCGCCAATCCGACTCCAGGCAGCCGCCAGCTGCGCTCTTGGCGCTTGGAAAGTAACGCTTATTTATTTATTTGCTTGCGTTCAACCTCTTGGGTTGCACTCGAGAGACACCCCCTTTGGACTTGGGGATCCCGCGGTGGACCTCTGCAGCCCCCTTCCCACCAAAGCCGGCAGTCCGCTGGAATAACTCACGAGCACCCGGGCGCCCCTGCCTGGGCGGGTGTTCACCCCGGCGTTGGAAAGTCCCCCTAGGCGGGAGCGGGGGATGGGAGAGGGGCGGTAGGGGGAGGCTCCAGCGCTCTCCGCTCTCATTTCAAAGCGCGCTCTCCCTTCCAGGTTGGGTCGGACCAGAACCTCTGAAAGCGGAACCGCCTCCCGCCCTCGCGCCCGCCGCCCGCCCGGAGCTGAGTCGCCGGTGGCGGGGGACTGTGGCTGGCCCGG